ACACACACACACACGCACAAACGCGTGCGCACCTGGTACAAATATGAAACAAGAAAGAACTTGCTTAAAAATATACCTGAAAGGCAGCCCATGACCCCCCCCCGTCCCCCGCCCCTCCCTCTCACAAAACAAGGCCTTGACCGTCTAGGTTACCGCCATACAATGAATACAAATGTCGAACAAATGTCAATAACTGCATTCCCTAATAAAAATTGTATGGTTAATTTGCTTAACGACGTGTTCTGGGTATCATCCAAACCATTTGTGGAATAGTTCAATGATTTGGGTTATCGTTCGTTTATGGTTATTTTTTATTAGGGTTTGTGTCCATTTTTGATAAATTTACCTATATGGACACGTCATCTTCATTTTCCAATTTCTCGAAAGATCGCAAATAATCGCAGCTAAATTTTTGCTATAATCTTCTATACACATGTACATATAATGCCTCATATACGACTTCACAGGATACTACAGGATAAGTCAACTTTTTTATCACAATATATTTATTTTATAGTTTAAATAACACTTAAATACAAGATTTTCATAAACTGCTTCTACGAAGTCAACACTAATATTAGCTGATGTCATGTGGAATAAATATTTCAATACCTGCTTGATCACTATCCATTTTTGCAAATTAATGTGATTATCCCAACAACAAGTAGAGACACGAAAACAATGGCACTGCGGAACGATTTTTTCTAACAAACCAACACGATTCAACAACAGGCAAGTTTGAACTGATGCCACAACGCGGTCAGTTTAGAAAGAGAAATAATGAGTACAGGGCATTGTTACCCTACTTCTGAAGTATACAATGCATGCATTCAGAATTTGTTTTGTCTTATTTTGAGAAATCGACTTTTGGCCAGCTAGCGTAGAACAAATACCCCTCCGTGCGATGTTTGCTTTTCTACCATCGACAGCGCCCCAGCTTTTACAGGTGTTCTCTGGCCGGCACTGCTTTTTGCCAGAGACATCATACTTCTCTCCATTTGTCCGATCGTTGGACTATCTTACCGTATGAAAATATTAAACCCCACCTCCACCAGGGAAGTCTGATTCCGGTTGAAACTCCCACTAGAACGCTGGCGACGCATCTTTGATTGAGTCGATGGCTTTCGGGAGAAACTCCTCCCGGAAGCGTTCATCAGAATCCGAAGAGCACCTGGACCAGTTTCCTCTGATGATGCACGCTCGCTTCGCCTACTTACCACCGTCACCTGTGGTTCATCCGAGTCCTCATCATACTCCAATCCAGTAGTGTGATTCCCATTTGATTTACACGGCAATCACTTCACCGTACGGAGATGAACCAGCGTCTGGCTGAAAATCTCCTTAATAAAGACAACCAACCAACCAACCACTTCACCGTGAGTGACAAGTAATCAGTTCACTTCGTTTTCACCGTGAAGTGACACTCGTAATAAGGGTCATTGTCCTGTCGGAAATTGGAAGTACCTCCCCCGAAGAACGTTATCGCTCCAAGCTTCGATTCGGTAGCTGAGGCCGTTGCTTATTAGGTTCAGTGTAGTCCTTTTCCGATAGAATTTGGGAGCAACGAACCGAGAGTCACAGATCTGGGATAGGATTCCACTGCTTGTTGTTTTGTTTCTTCAAAACAAAACATGTGAACTGTAAAATTAACCAGGTTGCCAAACACACCATTATACGAAAAAAAATCAGTCCGATGATACTCTCGGCCCTGCCGGCACACGTGAGACACACTGAGGAAAAAGTTGGCGCAAAATACGTGTGTAGAATGACCACCCTTTGATCTGAACGGATTTGCAAGCCCAAGTGTACTAGCACTGTGTAAAAAAGTAGCCAGCATAATGTCAACAGGGCATCAGCGTCTACCAGCATGAGATTTCAGGAGCAACTGAAGTTCGTGCTAGTTGGCTAGTAACCTAGCGCTGGCAAATTCACACAGATGTAAACACCCCATATGCGAGTAAAACGATTTATCTTCTTTAAACCCCAACGCAACGTTTCAATGTTACATCACATATTTTTCAAGGGTTAGAAAATGTCGTTTTTTTCTGGTGGTCTGTGATTAACAGCGTCAATTGTCACATAATTGTAGTTTAGCATTAATTTACTATTTAACAGGAAATTAATAATAAGCTCCAATCCTCATGAAATCGAAACCAACTCTTAATCCGCTGGAAATCCATTTTGCATTACGGTACAAAACACTTCATGCTTCATGATTTAAACTGACCGAGACACCCGATACGGGACAGGAATCGACAAAAAATAAGTTAAAATATAATCTACATTGTTGTTGTTTTTGGTGCTTCGTTTTTTTTTTACTTATTTACGTTGCTTATTGGAAGATTGCCGTAAAAGCTCGACGCAGATGTCGCCACTGCATAATGATGATAATGTTAACAGACTGCATATAAAATTCGTGAAAATTAGCATTAAATCATAATTTTTATCAAGCCTGCGTAAAATCCTTCCAATATAACATTCGAATTGAAGAAGAAAACGTTTTCACGATCAGACTGATGTGCATCTTTGACTTTTCCGGATGAACTTTCATAAGATATATTCATTTAATTTCACAGCTCCATCAATGCTGCATCGTACATATGATGTAAACAGAAGTAAATTGCTCAATTACTCAAAATAAAGATGATTTATCATCTTGTTATCACTTTATAAACCATCGAGTACCATTTTACAGTATGGTGCGTGTTGAGTAAATCAAGTTCCGTTGCGTTTTCCGTCGAAAATTGTGAGTATCAATGTTTACCTATAAAAGGCCAAAATGAACATTTATTGAATATTGGCGTCCTCTTCAACCATTTCTCCATTATCACCAGCATGATACAATCTTTCCTAAGTAAATTCGCTTAATTTCCACTTTCATCCTAGTGGAAATCGCACATATTCACCATTTTCCGAAAAATGCAGCTGCGCAGGAGGTAACCTCTACCTGTGGGTGCAAACTTGTTATGCATAATTTACCATGAAAACATCTCCGATCTATACCGAAATAATAACAGTTAGTTTGCAAACACGTTTTCTTACACGATTTAAGCAAAAGTTTCCACCGGAAATTATTAGTTTTTCTTTATGTACCGATTTGCCCCAAAAATCGTCTGTTTTACTTGGAGAATTTGGAAACTATCATCATTCTAGAAGTTCTCACTTCGAAATGTAGGTGGCGAAAGCTTGAAAAAGTTTCACTGCAAGACGCCAATAATCTGAGTGGTGCGAAGTGAAATTTTCTTCATGTTGGTAGTGTTGAAATAAACGTTTCATCACCGTCGGTTGGTAGAGAGAAGTGTCGAACGGCTTTTTGTGCAGAGCCGATTCGTGACTTTGTGATTGTTTGTTGTCATTGTTCATAGCTGGAGTTTTTACGGAGTGAAATAAAATTCAGAATGAAGTGTTTTGCTCACTTTTGCAATTATGACACGACGAAAAGCGAAGCCTATTCAGGTTTCCCAAGGATTCAGCAGTACGAAAAGAGTGGCTCAGTTTCTGTGAGGTGGATCTCAATTTTCAAATCACGTAAAAAGAACAAAAAAACGAAGATTCAATAGAACAATGTATAATGTTTGATTTTTAAGATGTTTAAATAAATATCAACAGAAAAGTCTGTATAATGCATCCTCATTTAATCTCATCCCTGTTTTGCTTCTGTCTGCAAAATATACTTTTCATTTCAGGGAAGTCAAGAAAGAATAAAACCCTGACACATCCTCTACCTGACTTGCAATCAAACATAATAATTTTTATTTGTATAAATTGTTGCAAATCAGATGCAAATTTAATGTGGCCGACGATATCTATGGAAGTGCTGTCGAAATTCCCTGGGACCTCCAATGGCAACGATTTGACTTCCCACCAAATCGTGTGAAACTCGAACATGAAAACTCTATAGAACCCCCGTAGAACCTCGCTGGCAGCAACTAAAATATCCACTGAAACCTCTTCTGTCGCGGGAAAAATCTGTTGAAATTTCCTGGAACTTTTGTACTATCATCACAAATCTCCTTAGAACGTTCTCCGAAGTCACAGTCGTTCCTGAGCGAAAAAAAATCGGAGGGGTTTTTTCAGCGCAGGAGTCTACTTTGGTCCAAAATACGCAATAATACTGTTATTTTGTAATTGTTTGAGTCGTTTTGAATCACGTTTTTAAAAAGATCAAAAACATTACTGAAAAATATTTATTTTTTATTTTGGACGATAACAATACCTCTATCTATTTCAACGAACCACAATGATAAAAAAGTGGTTCGATTTGACAGCTCGAAAGTGGTTCGATTTTGAGGTCCGTCTTCGCACCACTCAGCTTATAATAGTGTAGTAGTATTCGTGAATTTGACATTTCATATAACAGATTACACCAAAATGTCTGCTTAGCACCCCGGTGGAACTAACATGGGACTAACTGAAGAAGAGCAAAACAATTCGATACTTTAGAAAATTATCAAACATTTTTTTAATAAGAAGAAGAAGCACCACATGCCACAGAATCCAACATTCTTCTCTTGGTAACGGAGCCCTGCAAGGTTCTTAAAATGCATACTTCACTGTAGCTTTTGACACTTAACTTGAAGTCGCATGTCGGTTCAATTTCTTCCGTCCCACGGCCACTATTGCCGTTTGTGGAAAGCTGGATATATTTCGCACAGCGATTCTTTTTCTACAGTTCACGAATTTTCAATTGCATGAAATTCAACTGACTTGGTTACACTGATTTACAATCCATGTGATGCAACATTGCGTATTTATTTTTTCTGCATCTCTTATCTAAATCTTGTAATTTATCTATCACCGTCTATAATACACCCCTTAGATTAGTCAGTCCAAACTCACCACACCCTACGCGCATGTCCGGAACACCAGACTTGCATACAAGTCATATCGCTCTCAAATACTCCAAATAGACGGCAACCCGCATAGCCAATTTAGCGGCAATGCCGAATTCAATCCAAGCAACCCACCCACATGTCACCGTCCGATAAGGTCAAAACTAGCAGCCGCAAAGAAACATGTCAAAATTCCTGCACCTTCGCCGTCCAACCACCTATTCCAAGCTGCTGGAAACGGTCCCGAAACCGGCCGCAGCCCTCCCCCGCCATGGAGGTCTACCACAGTGGGAAAAGCTTACCCTGGATCAGAAACTACCTGCAAATGCGTGTCCCATACATCCACCGACCTTCAGCCGTGGTCCCCTGGGACAGCACCTCTCATGCGACCGGAAACCTCTCGACTATGGCTTTGATTCGACCGATCCACTGGGTCGGGATGATTCCCACCGCTACCGGCCGTTGCACGACCTGAATCTTGAGGTTTTCTATCGGGATAGGAAGATTAGGAATGTGAGTTGGAAATCGATTTGAGCGGCAATTAGCTTAACGTTTCATTTGATTTTGTAGATTTTACAACAGCAGCAGTTGATAAACGACGACGGTGATGTCATTTGTACGCTGGCGGAATTCAATCGGTTCCGATCTTTGTTGTGGAAGCTGCACAAGCATGAACTACGCAAGGAGTTTCGGAAGTTGGTAAGTTAGATCCAGAAGTTTGATCTGTTGTCAGGTTGTTATTCATATACATTAAGGTAGCTTTTTCGTTCAAAACTAAAAAATAATTTTATGACTTATTCTTCGACGCATGAAAATTTCTATCGTCTCTGAATACATTAAAGACATTTCGAAAGATTTTTTCACATTGTACGCTTTCATCCGAGGGGAGCGACACATCTAAATCTCAATTCTAGATGCTCAAAAAATCTCACACTAGCCAATAAATCTTTGAAACATCTTCTTTCATTTCTCGCATCTACTTGCATCGCGCATCATCTTTTTGCAGGAAATCTTCAAAATCGTGATAAATCTTCTTTCTATCAACTCAGTGTACGCGCAGCTAGCCACAGCAAAACACAATATTTCCTGCATCGTAGATAGAGTCGTCCCCCTCGCTTTCATCCCAGCTTGTTTCAATTGCCAGACTACCGAAAAGGATGAGCAAAATAAATTTTGATAGATTTCCTTCATTTTTGCATTTCGTGCTATTGAAATTTTGACAGTTAAAATTTCAGTCGCATTCTCGATAAACATTTCAAATGGTCGTATCTGCTTTGATCGATTCTCTTTATCGACTTTCTCTTTTGCTAACAACTGCTATGCGAACAGATTTCACGCTAATTTTACCACAATGTTTGATAAAGGAGGTTCATATCTAGCGTCCAAAACGTCAAATACAACAGAGATAGGTTTTGCAGCTGAGTTATTAACGAAAGATAAAGTCGATAAAGAGAATCGACTTTCTCTTTCGTTAATAACTTGGGTACAGAACCGTTTCTTCTCGTGTTTATCATATTAGAAGGTAGATAATAGCTGCTTTCATCGATCTGTGTGCCTAAAATAGCTGGGAATTTCTTAATATGGCTGTGAGCTTGAAATATTTTCATTATTATTATTAGAGCACCCCCACTGGTGTGTTGCTATCCAGGCTACACACCTAATTTAAATCGCTGAAATTCAGCAGAATTTTGCTGATTTTAGACTTGATGAAAGATCAGCAAACTTTCCAGCAAAATAATGCTGCTGAATTTTCCAGCAATTCCAACTTCTGTCAAAATGACAAAATTTTACTGGTAATCAGCAAAAATTCCAGCACTTCACTGATTTTTCAGCAATAAAAAAATTCCGACAGCTCACAGCATTTTGCTGAATAAACTCAGTAAATCGAATTTATTTTCACCTGGGGATGTCAGCTTTATTAAATATAGCCAGTGTCCTTACCTACATAATTTTATCTATTTGTAGTTATTTTAGCTCTTCCTCCTCCTGCGGTTTCAATGGTGGTGTACGAATGCAAAAATACTTGCGACTGTGATGCTAACAGTTTTACAGCTCTTTTACCGGCTGTTAGTTTATGTTAGCTGATGTTTTCAGTAAAAATATCGTTTGCTGTTTTTCAGTAAAGCATTTGGTGTGTACGAGCACTCCGGTGGCAGAAACGTCATCCACCAACATTTTGCTTGAAGCCAAAGCTGTTGATTTTTTGGCTCGATTATCTGCCAATCTAAGACAGCTGATGCAAACAGTGAGAAATTATGCTCCGTCCACATAGAGGTTTGATAATTCTGGAGGCACTCTTGGCACCCCCAGTAGCTACGCCAATGATTGTTGTTCTTAAATTGTTATTGTTAATATTCGCATATTTTTAAGGAAAACGAATTACTCATATCATTGAGCCGGTAGCTCTCTTTCTGTTTACCTTGTGTTTAAAACTAATAGAATGTCGGACACCTAGGAAATCGTATAGGGGTATTCAAAAAACATCGGTTCGAAAGTCCGGAAACCATGACTGCTCTGTGGATATTCCGCATCGGTCCATACACTTTGATATAGGATAGCGATTCCACGGTGGACTGCAATGTCAATATCATTCTTTGGAATGAATCCTGCTCCTGCTGGTTGATCAGGAACATTCACAGGATGCACTTTGCTCGAGTTTGTAGAGTAGTTTTATCACCCTTTCAAATGTTGTCTTTGTCGTTCTTATCCCGAACCAACAGCTTCACCGACGGAATGTCCTCCTCGATTGTTGGCCAGGAATAAGATGAACTTTTCACACAGCACCGTAATCGTATCGGTCAACTCGTATCCCAGCAGCCAGGCCAAAACATTCAAGCTGTCAGAAATATCGGGTTGCCAAATATACCATAATATTCGTATTTTACAAAAAAAATCTCAACTTGCTCTATGAGCGGCACAATCGGCACACTTGCGGAACACTGAGAAAAATGTTGACCCAAGATTGGTGTGCGGAGTGACCTACCCCTTGGGTAATCATGACATTTAATCTTCGAAAACACAGCGAATAAAAACTGCGTCAAGAATTGCTGTCTTCTAGAAAGATGTGTTTTTGTAAAATAAAAAAACTTCTCTGGCTTCGAAAAAAAAAAAACAAACAAACAAAATATTTAATGCCGAAAATAAGGAATGTTTCATATATCAATGAAAATTATATGCATACTAGCAAATTTGTGTCTTCAGCAAGTGTTATGGAAATGATATGTTCTACAATTTAGAACATTTTAATATCAAAAATCGTCAGTCAATAAAGTTAGAATTTTCAAAGAGTATAATTTATGGACGACCCTTTCATCAGATGCGCCTTTTGTAAACTAAAACCTTCTTTGAAGACACACAATTTATTTGTTAAACTTCATCTTCATGCGTATGTCGTAACCTGGACCATCCATTCCAAGCGGCTGAATCTGGAACTCACCGATGATTTTCATTATCACAAACGATATATTTCGCCTGCTATATATCAATCTCTCCAATGAATGTCTGCATAATAAACGATATCAGTGATAGTAATCAAGCGAGCATGATCCGATTTCCAGTTTGTCGTAAACTGTACAGATCGTGATCTGTACAAACTACGACCAACGATTACCCTAGTAGCACGCTTGTCACAAATCAATTTTAGAAACTTATATACGACTTATTTCAGTCATAAACAAGTTGCTGTAACTTATTGTGATGAAAGTGTGCTACTTGGGTAGTCCTCTTCCACCTTGAAAATACGTTATTGCGTAGGCAACTCACAGATAACAAATACATTGTTAGACTGAGTCAAGTTCAGAGAAGTGAGTTACCCTTTTCGCTCATTATATCCACAAATCGCAACATGTGCTTATTTCACGAGACGAGAGTGAGTGTCTCTCTGTGAGTAGTATTCTTTGGCAGTTTGGGATTACAGAGCAATAGCCAATTTGTTTATTCCCAGGTTGGTACCAGTTCCAACCCAGTGCAAACCCGAACTTTTTTTCAGCGCGAAAGTCGACCCATGTCAGGTTATAAAACCAAGCAATCAAACTGACGTTTGCTAGAAAACAAGCCGACCCTAACTTGATACCCAATCCAGGTTGCAACGGTATAATAAACAAATTCGCTATAAGCAAGCATCAGCAGATAGGTGCTGACCAGTCTATTATGCACCCCCTGACGCCGTGCGGGTTTTGTTGCTTTCCCATTACTAATTCTGGAAATATCATGTGCCAGAATGTTTGTTCATGCACTGAACTAGCAATGCTGATTGTTAAATTCACGAATTGACAATCGGAAAGCTATGAAAAACAGCGCAGGGCCATTTTACCCCAGGGGTGCGTTTTGAACCATCCTACCCTAACTTTTAACACGAATGCTGAAACGGGGCAATGTGCGGTTTCTATAGGTGAGGAGGATGCAAACAAGTCGACTCTTTCGTTCTCTCGGTTTCGAATGCAGCAACAGACGTGACGTAACGTTTGTTGCTGTATTAGGCTGTGAACCATTTGCCGAGTTAAATTTAACTCGTAGTTAAAAGTGACATTTCGAAAGTTATTTCTTATGTTCGAAAATCCCCGTGCTGTCGATCGACCGGTTTTCGAGCCACGGTCGTCAAAATTTAACTTCTTGTCTGTCAGAAATAACCACGCTCGGATAGCAGGGTTAATCGATAACTTTCCATCTGTCAAATTTTAACCAAAAGTTAAAATAATCCACCAAATGGTTCAGAGCCTTAGAACGCGATGAGAATGAAAGAGTCGACTAGTTTCCTTGCACCTCACCTGTAAATAGCGCACATTTGGCTCGGTAGTTCATCGGATAGTTCTGTCAACACGATGAACTGTTCCTTTCTTTTTCACTCCACCGTAAAGACCAATGCCGCCAACGCAAATAGATGTGTCTTTCCTAATTCACAGACTGAAAAAAGCAAAAAAAATCACGATCATTATGGCATTGATCATGATCTGATCACGGTTGTTCATCAGTTGTACATAATCCGAACAACTTCTTGTCCTCAGCTGTACGCATTGAGATCTTTAGTTTGTAGCGTACACTCACAACAAGCCTTGCGTAGTATAAGTAATGTATCGTGAGTGCACACAGCAATGATGTTGTTATCGTCTTGCTCTCTTGAGATCTTGGTAACTCACTGTTCGAAATGCTCTCTGCGTATTAGTGTTAAGAGTCAGAGTTCATCGTTAGCTTATGATGATGCCAAAATATCTTGTAGCAGGTGTGTGCGTATTAGATCGCTAGAAACGATTTTTTGACATCACTGAACGATATGTTTGTCATATTCTCTACAATGCACTTTTTATATTTTTCCTGAAATTCGTTTTTCTGGACCAATGTGCATTGCTTGTTCGCATGATTTGTATCTTCTGTCAACACTGGTGCTTCGCCTGTGCCTGGAATTCCTTGGAAAAGCACGTCATCTTCAGATTTCGTCTTGAATTGATCATCAAAAAACGTATACATAACATACATGACAGATTGTAAGGACTATTGGGATCCAATTTCGGGAGTGATTTAAGTATTCTTCTTCAGCGGGCTTGCGATATTTATTGGCTGTAGGTAACGAGATACAGCTTTTCACATTCAGTTGCTTACGATTTCTAACCTTGCCAAGTCTTCTCGGACGACGGAATCCTAATATTTCTGCCACTGATCTCAAATCATGAGTATTAATGTATAGAAGCATGCTGTATTTAAATTGGATAACACTTACCGAGTTGTACCAGAATCTGAAAGCAAAAAGAAATCGTGATGTAAGTTCTTCTAATGCCTTGTTCAGACTACAGAGTAATAACATGTTATAGCGCTATCTTGACGGTTTCTGTGTTGCAATAATTTGACAACCGTTATAACATGTTATAATTGGGTTCTTTAAGGGTATTGAGGTAAATGCATATTCCTAATCTGCATTAAAAATGGAACTCAAACCCCAAATTTCATCAATTTTGGTACACTGGAACTATTTTAAATAAGTACGATTACATTTGCAAAAATCACCTTATTAGCGCCCCTTGGTGTCACTTTATATGGGAGCGAGCTATCAGTTTGTTAGTTTAGTGTCAAACAGTGAAGCTATTATTTTGCTTCAAATCTTGATTTAAAAATCAAAATGAAAGTATGTGGGTTCGAAAAAATATCACTGTGCTCAGAAAACGGAGCTCTTTCAGATGATGTATAAAAACCGATACATTTTTCAAAATTAAAGAACCCAATTGCTCAGTCTGGACTGTGCTTAACGAATGATGTCATATACAACTTCACAACTTGATGTACACTAACTCGATATCGAGTTATAGAACTATACGGCCTATAATTGCATATCAGCCCCATATGGATATTTGTCAATTTTGAGATAGTAACGCTACCTACTATCAGTAATTGGCATCTACTTTCATATTATGTGATAAAACTACGGACTTTGGTCATGAAAAATGTGAAAACAACATCATGTCAGTTTGTCCCATCAAGCAAAGTACTCGCATATCAGTCCCATTCTTAAATTCAATCGTCCTGAGGTGCAGTTACAGTTCTGCTTTTCGAGTAGCCATATTTTTCGCTGATATAACATTTCTTCGACTGCCATTTTCTCAATGCCTACTTTTTTCCATATGGGACTGATATGGGATTATCGGCAGTATAGTAAAAATTAATTTCATGGCTACTGAAATAGCGATTGTGTATGGGATTGTTATTCAATAACTCGATGGACCCTTCAATATCGAGTTGAAGAGAGTTAACTGTTATTTCTCTTTGATAGGACAAATCCTGGTGGGATGAATACCATGACAAAAAATCTGCACTTCATATGCAAAAGTACTACGAATTTGAAGATAAACGCGAACGGAAGAGATATAAAGCCTGGGGACTGAGAGAAGCAAAACGACAAAGGTACTTATTTAAACTCATTAACGTCAAGTACCAATAACTTTAGAGAACATAAATTTTCCATAGTACTTTGAACGCGATTGCACAATATCAGAAGAAACTGCAAACATTTCTAGCATGTCGCAACAAGGCTCAACAAGCCCATCTGGAGGATGGTCATATGCGAATGCTGCAGATCCGTTATAACAACACATTGCTGAAGGCATCTAAGAAATCGTAATTACACCGGAATTTCATGAAATTGATCGTCCCAATGTCTGATAGTATTTATTCTCGTCAGGTACCGTCTACGGCTGAACCGAAGACTGCGGGATCAGGACAATCTACGAGCCCGACGGATGTCTATTATGAACAAGAGACTTCGCGAATCAAAACGTATCATGGTAAATTCAAAGAAACAACACCGCCATCCGTCAACTAATCCATTCTCTTTCCCAGAAAAAAGAACGCCACAAGATGCTTTTCATCTCCACTCAGCAGGCAGAAGCCGAACGGCAGACACTTCTGCACAACTATCTACAGCACATGCGGAAAAACGTCCAACGTCGGATGCTACGATCGGCTCAACTTCAGGAACACTTCGAGCGGCAACTGACCAGCAGAAAGACCCGAAACCTTGCCAGCAAGTACGACAAACGATCCAAACCTGCCCTCATGCGGGCAATGCTTAAAGCCTGGCAGAGCATTCGAATCCGCCAGCCCGATCTCAACCGACAATTGTCCCGTGCTTCGGTGGAAAACGCCGTCAACATCGCCTACAGCATCCACACGACCATCAGTCCCACCATCAGCAGCACCCAGGTAATCGACACGGCACGGCAACTGATCAGCGACTTTGCCCATATGCCTTCCGAGCAGCTACCGTTGGATCGACAAACCATCCAATACACAAGTGATGCCCTGTTGAAAATCCTGGAACAAACTAAAGACCAAATCGTACGGGCCGGGTGCTGCCTCATCGAGCAGGTGGCAACTAAAATGCGCAATCGCATCGAATGCGACGATCGACAGCAACGCCACTCGACTTTATGTGGCCCGTGGAATGCACGTTGGAAACGCTCTTCCCTGGGCAGTCGTTCGGGAAGCTTGAGTCATCGCGTCTCCATTGGTGGAGTTCAAATTGTAGACGAGATTCAAACCGAACAAGAACACTTTAAAAAATCTCGCCTTCGACCTCCTACTCCGGTCACATCCGTGACTTCACTAGTAGGACATATGGTAGATTCCGAGCAGAATTGTTCATCTTCCATCGAGGAGCTTGAAATTCCATCCGTCGTAACGGCGTGCATTGAGAAACAAGTTACAGCCGATGAACACCCCTTGATACACCTGACCGTTCGGCAGAGGCGATTTCTGGAGACAAACCTGATCAAATTCAAAGTAATCATTCATCGGAACGTGGAAATTCGATCCCTGGCAGCGATTGACCGAATGCGGCTGGAAATTGTTCGGCGGAAGTTACGCCTACCTAAACCGGCGGTAACGAAGGAAAGCATAGCCCGCGAAATGGCTCGCTGTATTTTGGTGTTTCCCAAAGAGGATCAGAAATACGCCGAGCTGCTGTTGGACATAATCAACATACTCGTGGGAGAAGTTTGCGACGAACTCGAGGACATACTGAGTGCACCATAAGTTGGCACTGAGTTGATTATTACCTGGTTCGACTTCCGGAAGATCATTGGAAGGTCGCATCAAATTATTATCACATGTATGAATTCACAAAATTTCTAAATGCAATCCAAAAACCAAACCGATCACTACCGTCAAATTTACGTTAATAAAATTATTACTTTATATCAATTAACTTTTGTTTGTTGGAATACTTTATTACTTTTCACTTTTATTATGAAATATTCAAAAATCAAATATTTCCGTTATGAAAATTACTCCGACAAAATAGGTGGCCCAACTTTATCGGGGCCTTTTAATTTACACGGTAAGAAAAAAGTTCGCAAAAGGCCAACACTCTTACACAGCAAAAAAAGTTGTTGAATATTACATCGAAACTGCAGAGTCGATGTTGTAATAAGGCTGTGTTCCATTTGCAAAATTTTCACTTAAATTTGACACTTTGAAAATAAATTAAGATGTTCGAAAATCCCTCTGTTGTTGATCGGCCGATTTTCGAGAAAGCGTCTGTCAAAGTTGATTCCTTGTCTGTCAAAAATAAGTCTGCTAGAATAGCAGGTTTATTTGAAAATTTTCCATCTGTCAAATTTAAGTGAAAATTCACCAAATGGAACACAGCCTAAGAGTCCCGCCAAGAGAAAATGTTGCGAACAAGCAAGTGCGTTTGGGATTTATTTTTCGTCAGAGTAAACGGCAACCAGATTTTTTGCGTTAGCATCGGATGACTTTCATTTAGTAGTGAAAAATGAATGCAATACTTGTAGTTGACTGGCTGTGGGAACAATGATGTTTATTTACTTTGTTCGTTTGGTACCCCGCTTGACAGTTCGATTGGTACTTCTGGCTTCACTCTTGGCGGGACTCTTATTATAACATCGACTCTGTGAAACTGCTGCAACCAGGTCAATCCAGGTCAATTCTGCAAAGATAAAAGCGAAATAGTCAATAAATCAACTAAAATTTGTAAAAAATATTTCAACTTACAGGTTGCGGCTTCCTTTGGCAATGCGTGGAGTACATTCACATCCGATCATCCAGATCGAAGTCTGGCAGTGTTGCGAGATTTAATATAGCATCAACATTATATGGTATAACACAAATTTTGTGTAATATTACACAACTATTTTGGAATGACTTGGTTGCATTTGATTCTGTGTAAAAATTATGTTATTAATATGTGAATATTACACAGATGCAACGTAATGGACAATGGTAATTTTGTTTCGGTGCAGAGATGCCAGATCTACGGAAATCTCCGTAGATCTACGGATTTTACAATTTTTTACGGAAATACGGATCCGTAGGCAAAATCTACGGAATTCGGTACAGTTTCTACGGATTTTTCTTCAGTATACGTCTCCCTTCAGAATCGAATTTTACAGTCTAGAGTATAATCTGATTCTGAAGGGAAAGAAGCATAAAGTAAAATACCACCGTTTTTTTTTACTCACTTATCCGCTTTTTGATAGAATTGGCGTTGACGGCGACTCTGTAGCTTTTATCTCCTATGAAATATCCGGTAAGCAAACGTCCCAGACAACCAGAAAGCACGTATATTCAAAGTTGTTTTCATGATATACAAACATATATATAAACAAACAATTCGTATAGAATGCAAATAAATGGCTTATACGTACAAACGTGGAGGCCATATACGTGCAAATTTTAATTTAACGTTAAGCGAGTTGGTTTAACATCATATACGATTTAATCTGTAATAAAAAATTCATTTTGATAAGTCTTACGATGTAATCCGATTTAATTTGTGATACAGTACGACGGAAAAATGATTCATCGCATATAGATCGGAAATTTGCATTCTATACAATTTAACTTAAACATAATTCGATTTATGCCATTCTTATATGCGATTTTGACTTAAACCGTAGCAATTAACGATACAGTCAGTACATTGTTATACGACTTCTGGTTGTCTGGGGTCAGACTGTGCGTGAAACTCTTCACTCCGGAGAAAGTTCCCATAATATACTGTAAATCTTTGCTGGAAGAGAAAAATTTTCGACGGTGCCGTGTGAAGGCGAATAAAAGTCGTGTCGGTCGACCGTAGTCGACACATTTTCTGTGATAATCGACTGCCTTTGCTTCCGACACTTGCAAAACAAGCTTTCAACTAACAGTACCAATGTTATACGACAGGCCCTGACATACGACACTGTCACCGAGGGCCGTAACGAATGTATGTATTTGTGTTTTTCTCATAATAAGAGCTGCTGATGTGTGCTTGTGTGAATTCTGAAAATAGCAAGCAACGATGTCCTAGTTATAACATTTCTAATCAGAAATGGTTTAATTGACACCAAATTGAGGAATTAGAACGAAATCACATGTGTCATATGAAAGTTATTAGATAATTTTCTTTTTGCTTGAATGTTGTTCTTTCTTATTAGATTAGGACACCACTATACCGCCGCTACGGGATCACAATTGATCAGATCGCCATAGATGGTCTTGAAATCCTTGCAGTGGATCCTCACATTGAGCTGCAAACCATTGCCGTGGATAATGAGACAGAATTGCTGCTTGGGCAACAGGAAACGCCCCTTTGGAATAAGAACAAATGTCTGGAGATCACACCCGCGCAAAACAGGGTTCATCTGTTATTAATATATGACGAGCACGGCGAAGAGATAGCTTTTCCTGCCATATGTTTTGACCATCTACGGAAATTCAAGCCAGGGATTCGGATGACATATTTCATGATGGTATCCAGTGAAACTCGTCGTCAAGACAGGCGTGTGGGCAAACCACAACATTCGTTGTACATGAAAATGAAAGTTCTACGCCTTAGAGTTTACGAAGGCTTGCAATGCACTTTTGAGCGAAATTTATCCTTCCTCAAATCAATACCGAATTTAGTACAGTATTGGTAACAAAGGAAGATGAATTTGTTCACCATGATGCGACAATTGGGAAAGCCTACGATGTTCCTCACACTTAGTGCAAATGAGATGAAGTGGCCCCATTTGTTGAATCTCGTGGAAGTCCTCACGCACACATCTTGCTATGGCTGAACAAGGATCCCCGGGAAGCAATCAGTGAAAGTATGCCAAAAACAACAGGTGCAACAGTATCATGGTATTCATGCCCTTTTCAGGGCCACCAAGCTTTTCCGAAAGAGTTAAATTTCTGAACATGTCCCAACTAAAATTCATATCAAAGCTTCTTTTCAGGGCAATCATAGTCATACTTAAAAGTATAAACAGAGAGAACCCCGCTCAAATTCCTATTCCTACACAAAACACAAGTCCTGCTGTAGTTAACAAATAACATTTATTAAATAAGACCACGTAGTCCGACAAGTATTTTAGTACAAAGTATTTTCATCGATTTATCATGTAACGTAAAATATCACCATAGAACTAAAAAAAAAATATCTCCTTCGGCTAAAAAAAAATCTGTAGAAGTCCGTAGATTTGAATAAGTTTACGGAATTGCATAGAAAACAATCTGGCATCTCTGTTTCGGTGTAATTTAAAGAGCGATGTAATATGACATCCAAATGGATGTTATTATACGTCTACTTTTCTTGATTACATCCATTTTGCTGTACATCATGTGAATTACGTTGATGCATATTACTTTTTTTTTGCTGTGTAGCTACGATTACCTAAAATTATCGGTAAAAAATTATCGGTATTTTTAACCGATAAAAATTGGTACTTTTTACTTTAAATATGCTATTTTTTACTGTAATTTAGGTAATTTGTAACGTTAATTATTAGTAATCCATGATTACCGATAATTAAGGTATGTGCACTTTCTTCGATTATCAGTCATTTTTACCGATATCTAGGTAATCTTTACCGCCTTTAAGGTATATGTATCTTAGCGTGACAGGTAAGTTCTTTCGAGAGTTCTTTCCAATCATCTGACACAATAGCGGGGCCCTGTTTACCAAAAATGAACACATGAATAATGCTCGCGTAACATTTGAAACGGGCCTATTAACTTTTGTACACAAAACTTGTTAAGCATTTTTCGCGCGAACCGAATACTCCCACGCAAACTAACAGCACCATCGGGTTGGGGAAATTCTCCCCTTCCTGATAGTGCTTTTGGTAGAAATAGAATAAAATTTATGCTTTTGTTTATTAAGCTTCGTTTACCCATCTCTATGATTAAAAAGTAATCAATTTTAGATTTCTATTTATACATGACATCGAATAACTTGTTTTAATGCTACTTATGGCATTGAAAAGGTTTCGGTGATTACGTTTAGTGATAAATGTATAGTACAACTCTTTTACCTGTGGAAAGAAAACTTTCAGTAAGTATGATTAGTTATTATAAAATAGCACTGTTCGATTCAGGAATATTTATTTGTAGCGTTGATGTGCTTTTCCCCCGTTGAACCGGCCCGGTTCCGTCTGGAAGAATTTCGCAGAGTAGTCCAGTACTTTTTTGGAATACAGTCAACTGCAGAACCAGAACTTAGAATCCGGACTGCAGGAAGAGGAAACCATGGAGGAGCACAATTCCCTAATAAAAATTGTATGGTTAATTTGCTTAACGACGTGTTCTGGGTATCATCCAAACCATTTGTGGAATAGTTCAATGATTTGGGTTATCGTTCGTTTATGGTTATTTTTTTATTAGGGAAGCTGGACAGTCCTTTGGGGAGCAACCTACATAGAGAGCAAGCAGCCCTACAAATGTTCCTTCAACAGTACCTACCCCAAGGGGTAGGTCACTCCGCACACCAATCTTGAGTCATCTTTTTTGTCAGTGTGCCGCAAGTATGTCGATTGTGCCGGTCATAGAGCAAGCTGCGATTGTTTGTAAAACACCCATCCCGGCAACCCGGTATTTCTGACACCTTGAATGTTTTGGTTTGAAATCGCAAGGATAAATCGGATTGAGGATGACGCGGGAAGTGGCGAGTGTGCGAAATTTCGGTGTTTTGTGATCCATAGGGTAATAAAAGTCCTGTGTTTTAGTGTTTTATAATGGCAAACCAAAGCCAAAGGCAGACCAGAAACCTA